TCCCGACGTGAAATTGATAAAAAATAAATTAAACAGAATAATTCCGTTTTGGAAAATTTGGATCGAGTCTGGAGGAATCGATGGCACATCTGCCTCGTATGTGTGGCAGGTGGTGGTGGGTCTCACTCACTTCTCTTTCACTTTTTCTCGCCCAAAGCCGGGATGAAATTCACCGGTTCATACGTATCTACACATTTATTCCCCAGACGACATACGACTGGACAGACAGAGTGCGAGATAGAAATACAGAGAGGGACTGAAAGCGCATAGCAACTGCCCACCCATCCACCGATGCTCTTTAATTATCACCCCAAAATTACCATAATCATTTTGCATATTTGATAGACAACATGTGGAATACGCAAGACGAATTGGGATGGAGTAAATTAAATCGAATTAATTGGAGAGGTGCAGGCTCACATTAGACTCGGCTCAATGCCGAGAACCTTTTCCAATTGACGTCATTGTCAGTTTTGTTTTCGAGGGGCTCTAATTTTATTGGAATGGCTCGGGAATAATGTCTATTCGTTTCGTAATTGAATTCCAATTGAGTTAAGAATATAATTTGACGGGGAGATGCGTTTTTGCCGGACTCTTTTAGCGATGTTAGGGAAACTGTTGGGTTTAGAGGGAAATGTCAGGAGAGATTTTTAAAGCTCATGAAATTCTCTACAGAAAATGTTTAGTTACATTTTTTCCTAAGTCCACTGATTCAGGATATATTTGCGGATGAACGTGCAATTTGATAAAAAGTGAAAAAAAAATTACTAAATTCCATTCAGAGTATTTTGAAAATATCTCGGAAACTGGTGGGTTTAGACGAAAATGTGGTTGAATATTTTTTATAGCTTATGAAATTCCCTACAAAAAATGTTTTGTGACATTTTTCTTCACAACTCTTCGTTAAGCGCATATTCACGATATAACGTGAAACAAATTTTTTGTTGTACAAAAAAAATTGAAATTATTGATCATTTGATCCTGCGGTGTTTTAAATTTCATGTCACGCATGATTTTGTTAGTTATAAAAATTCGATGGAGGTGCGCCTGCGTCTAATGGCATCATCCTGGCCAAACTTGGGTGTCATCGACCCCCGAACATTGTCGTCGCTACGCAAATCGCACACCTATTCCCTTTGTAAACCCGACGAGTGTAAATTGCCCTCAGTGAGATACCGCTCTTCCTCCTAACTACAAAAATACCCAGTTTTGTATATTTAACGAACGATTACGCCAGAGTATTTATTTACAAACTGTGGGGGTCTTCGTGTCCCACTTACTCACACATCCGGCTTCCTATTCTTATCTCACGCGCTTTATCTACGAGCGTATGTTTTTCCGACGTAGGTATGAACGAGAGTTATAATACGGGTATTAGCGATTTGCTGTTAGCGAGATGCTCAATGCTCTTGCGGACATTGCTAACATACTAGACACTTCATTCAACGCTTTTTTATTTTGTGGATTATGTTGGGGGGGGGGAATTCATTATTTAAGGAATTACGTTTTTTTAACAGTCGTTGTTTACAAATAAATGATTGAAATTGTTGAAACTTTCAGAAAAGTTTTTTTTTCTGATTGTTTATAAATTATTTATAGAAAATGCTCGCAATTTAAAAAAATTGCACTTTTTAAATTACTTCATCAATCTTCCTCCAAAATTTTCTCATTTTTTTCAGATTTCTTAAATGTTTCCAACGGGTCAATATCGAATTTGAAATTCAGACCTGCGAAGTTGAAGTGAACTAGACGGAGAGAAATATTCAATAAAAATTGCGTCTTTTCCGTAATTCCCGAGCGAAATGTGGTTGTAGGAAATTTTACGGAACTGTCGCGGAATTTTTCCAGAGCGTTCCGTAATTTTTATCTGAATCTCCTGCGAAAAATTACGATTACCGATTACGTATCGTAATTTTTATCTGAATCTCCCGTGAAAAATTACGATACGTAATTGGTGAGCGAATTATGAGTTCTGCAATTTTTACTGAACATTTCTCTCCGTGTAGCTAAAAATTGATAACGTGTGGGCACGCACTTTTACCAGAGCATCAAAAAACATTGAATTCCAGAAATTCACACTCTAAACTGTGTTCTAGAAGGTATTGAATTATAATTATGATTAAAATCTTATTCAGTGCCCTGCACGGAGAGAAATATTCAGTAAAAATTACGAAACGCTCTGGAAAAATTCCGTGACAATTCCATAAAATTTCCTACAAGCACATTTCACTCCGGAATTCCGGAAAAGATAGGGGAGACTGGGGTAAAACGGACACTTTTGATTTTTTTAAAAATGTTAACGAGGGGTTGAAATGTTGATAAAATTCAATAATTTTTCTTTTCAATACGAAGAACAACTCTTTCCCTTTGTGACGAGCCTAAACAGAGCTCAATTGATAAATTTCTTTCTGAGTTATAAATAATTTTAAAAAAGTCTAAAGACAATGACCAACCAATTAATTAAAAAATAAACCAATTAATTCAGCGCTTGCGGCCGGGGTGGCAATAGTAGGAGAGAGTACGGTAAAATGGACACTTTAGACTTTTTAAAAAATATTCATAACTCAGAAACAAATTTATGAGTTGAGCTCAATTTAGGCTCATCACAAAGGGAAAGAATTGTTCTTTGTATTGAAAAAAAAAAGATTAAATTTCTTCAGCATTTCAACCCGTCACTAATATTTAAAAAAAAGTCAAAAGTGTCCATTTTACCCCAACGTCCCCTGCTGCTAAATAAAAAATTTCGAAATGAAAATTTCCATCGGCCGGAGCCCTGCACCTCCTGCGACTGTGCCTCATCAATAATCATATCCCCACCGCCCCCCCCCCC